GCGAGTTTTGACCTTGCAATCCGGTTAAATTCGATTCCCTGACCGCGCGCCGTTTTAAATACCCCAATTAAGAGGATCAGGGGCTTCCCCGGAGTCCATTACTGCATCGATCCCTCAGACGAATCCTCGTTACTCGACCGAGCAGGACTAACGATACGAAATATCGCGATTATACAAGAGAGTACAGGTAGCACTCCTACAACACGGTTTCACTGTAACACGATTCATAAATTACGGGAACCCTCCTATAACGCGACAAGAAAATTGCAAAAACCTTTGTACAACACTGTACTTCTACGTGAGCAGCGATGATGAAGAAATTTATTAAATTAAAGTTGCGTTAAATTAAAATAATATTTTTGTTTTGCGTTGTTTAACTCATTCGAGACCGGTTACACACCGTGTGTGCAATAATAACGAACCCTTATCTGTTATTCTAAGTAGTCGCTCCTGAGGACCGTGTTCGAAAAGAACCGTCTCGAATGGGTTATGTAGAATTGAAAGAAAATTTGTTTCTAGTAAGTTTTCGGAACGTAACCCCCCTTTTGTACTGGCTCTGGGTCTCATACACCACGGTTTCACGCAACACGGCATTTTCTAGGAACCTATCTACCGTGTTATAAGAGGGTTACCTGTACTGTGCACGCGCAACGAGCTAAAAATTTTTAAACCCGCACGCGGTTTCCCCCCGGGAGACCTTGAAACCTTGAAACGCGTTACTTTTGCACCACCCTGTACAAGAAGAAGGCCGTATTTACGATCTCTCGGGAAACACGAATACCGTGACGATTCTACACGCGTGTCGCGAGACCTCGCGAGCCTCTCGACACGTCGGCCGAGAACAACGACGCGTAACGCAGCGTCGTTTCGCTATCATTGAACGCAATTGACATCTGCTGGCTAGCGCTCGGTACCGGTTGGCAACCGGCTCGCCGATGGCTGGCAGTGCCGTGCGCGACCAGTCGTGTCCATGTCCGCTCTTCTCTCTGTTTGATCGATCTCGGTCCCGCGTTTCCACGCCGATAACCGCCTTATCCGCTCGCGGAAAGTTCGCTGGAAAGCTCCTAACCCTAGCCGCCATGGTCGTCTTGGAGCTCTCGTCCCTATCGCGCTTAATGCTCCTCGCGTGACGGCTCGCTAATGGTATAAGGAGAAATTTGTTTCTGCCCTGGTTGCTTAGTCGATACCGCCAACCCGTGGATATTCCGTCGCGTCCCGAGTATTGCCGGAGTAATTTATCGCGATTCGGCAACGGAACTCTCTGTGTTCCAGCTTTAATCTCCGATCGCGTATTCCCCCGCGGTGCACGACGAATCGAGCAACGAGCAATTGCACGATCAATTACCGCGGAGCTATCGAGACGAGCCTTTTAATCGAGCATCTAGCGTAAACGAGACTCTTGTCTTCGATGACCATTAACGCGGAGGATGTTCGTCCACGGTTTATAGTATCCGTAATTCTCCCTTTCTGTTGGTCTTGCTCGATTATCGAGCAGGTTTTCCAAAAGCCTAATTGAAGGAACACTTGTCCGCGCGGACCTGGTTTCGAAAACCTGTTAATCCGGTGAAAACAGGTGAAACGTGTCTCGTTTCGAGCTTCCAGCCTCGCAGACCCGAAGGGATCTGCGACGCTCGCCGGATTTTTCCCCGGCATTTTTGTCCGTCTATTTTGCAGCCGAGGGGTGGTTCGGTGGTTCCCTCTCTCTCTCTCTCTAGCTCGTTTTCCCTCCCCTCTCGATGGTAGTTGTCGATGTTAGAGGGGTCTAGAGAGGTTGAGGGAGCACGAGGGGGATGGTAGTGGATTTGGGGGTTGGACCCGTGTCGAGGTGGGGCAAAGGTGATCCCCGCGGATCAATACCGCCGCCGGTCGGCCGCCTCCAGCGTGCTCCAACGACCGATGCTCTCGTATTTCCTACCGAAATCGAATGCCATTCGGTGCACTCGCTCCGACAAAATCGTTCTTAAATGCAGCCGACTCGCTGTGCCCGAGACTCAGCGGAATCCCGGAGTTCGTTTCGCGGCAGACTCGAATTTCCGCAGACTCCGGTTATCGGAATGTTCGCAGTCGCCGAATGTTTCCTGTCGCTGTTCCACCCGATACCCATGCTTTCCCTCGTTTTCTCCGCTTTACGACTTACTTTCCGCGGCTTCGAATTTACCTCTCCCGTACCAATTCTTCCCTCCCTGTCTCGTGTTCTAAGTTCGTCTCGTTCATTTTACTCTCGACCGTCCATAAATCCTTGTTCCACCGTGATTGGAGAAAACTGAAAGACGAAGCAGAGAAAAGTCAAAGCGGAGCAAGAAAATCGAACGGAGGCGGATAGATCTCGGGACCTACTAGCCGAATTCGAGATATCGAGCCGGTATACCACGGGGTCGATTTCGCGTCGGTGATTATCCACTATCCATTCGAGGCACTTCCGCGGATACGTCGGTTACAAGCCGGTTTTCCGGCGCGTTTTCACGAAGCGCGAAAGTAACCCGGCTCGAGCGAGCGTGTCGAAGCGAACGCTTTAAACCGGCCGATGGACGACGATGACGCAACGAACAAGCCGGCCGATTACTCGGCTACTTTCTCCTCTTCCGGACAGCCGTAATATCGTTGGGGATTAGCCGGCATGGCCGACGACGGCGGACGCCGTTATCGGGCCCGCAGCGGCGGCCATGACGCGGACCCAACGCGAAGGGCGAATCTCGCGATTCCGTCGACGAATTAAACTCGAGGCCCCTCGACCGCGTCTCCGGTTCCGCGCCATCCCAGCGACTCCATCCTTCGGCCCACCGATGATTAATTGTCCGCGTTTCGCAATCGTTTCAGACGGAAACGACGATTAGGCGTTGCTCGTCGCGCGGACGCAACACGCGAGCGTTCCTTTTCGGAGCCGACTCCAGCTTTCGAGACCTCGCGATCGCGGGAAACGCTTCGTCTTTCCGCTCGTGGGAGGATATCGCGTGCGCACAGCGATTTTATCTGCCACCGCGCGAGGATCGTACCACGTGCAACCGTGACAGACGGCTAATTTCGTTCGAACATCATCGCGAGGATGATCGTTTTAGCTCGAAGCGATACTCGAGACAGGATTTCTGTCCCTCGTTGACAATGACACGATTTCTCGAGGGTCCTCGAGCGCGTGCTCCTCGACGGACTTCCGAGACCGGAAAACATTTTCGAGAACAGGTCGGAAACCTAATTTCTCCGCAAGGAAACTCGTCCCAGAAGTTCTAACGAATCGTTCCGGCGCGGAGAGTCCGAGTAGCGAGCAGGACAAGTACCATTTAGAGGAATTTGCGGGAAAAATCATCGTGAACTTTGCTCGTTATCTGTAACGAAATCGCTGTAAAGGAATCAACGTTCGAATCGGAATTCCTTCTCGGTCGTTACCGTCCTTCCTTCATTGAATTTCCTCTACACGTTTCCCAGCGGACTTTCCTCGTAGATTTCTTTCGCCGGCAGTAGTAATCTCGGGAAGAACCGAATCAGCCGGATCCAGGATGTCAGTGTCCGGTATCCGTGGCCGGAAGCGGGCCTTAGCTCGTGGATACCAGCGAATCGCGTGTCGCGGTTACGTCACACGGAGACGAAAGAACGGAGTTGTGGTAAAACTGGAGCCACCTCGCGGGTCGACAGCTGTGTTTTGTCACTTTTCCGATTCGTCGACCGACCTCGCTTGTTTCACGCGTCTCGTCTCGTCGAACATGCAACTGGTGAAGAGTCGCGAGGAAAAGCATGGCGTCTACGTTTATCGCGAAAAAGTGGTCGACTGGTGGGCCAGGTTGGAGCTCGAGGACGCACGGTTTCGACGACTCGAGGTCTACCCGAAGTGAGCTACATTCAGTCTTTCAAACCCTCCGTTCCGCGTTAATCGGCTCGACCGATGGCCCGATCGGTAGCTAACCTGTAATCGAAACGCGACGTTCAAGTGGATTTCGCGAAGGAGGAAAGTCACTCGCGATTAATCGCGGCGGTGGTGAAACGGTGCTCGCCAGGACTCCATTTTGCAGGCTGATTTCTCGAAATCTTCGGCCTTCCGGCTGGCCCGCGATAAAACGTAATTCCTCGTCGCTATCGGACCACCGCACGGCCTTCCGCAGACCTCGAAATTTACGTCGAAGAAATTCGCGTGCACTCTTTTTATCGTTGCCTCGGTGCTAAGTAATCGCGGTCGAAGATTAATTCCCGGACGAAATCGTGCACGAGGAACTGCGTTTTCAACGATCAACGATTTCGACGTGTTGGGAGCAACGTCGTCACGGTTGTTGAAATTGGCAAGGAAAAATTTGATTAATCGACCTCCGGCCAAACGTGACTTTTTCGCGGCGGGCCCGAAGGATCAGCGAGCTTAACATTTCCCCCGCTGCTGCTCGTTCCGTGGAAAACCGGCGGGCTGCGGTGACACGACAATCCGCAGGCTGGAAGCCCCTGTGTAATCGATTGCTCGACGCCGGTGTTGCGTCGCGATATTGTTCCCGTGGAACGCGCGCCGCGGAAAACGTACGAGACAAGGTACAAGCTGTACCGGGGCCCGTTTTCTGCGCTCCGGGACGATGTCTCGCTTCCGCGGCGCAATTTATGCGCGATATCGAACGCGGCGACGAGGTACAGGACTGAACGACCGTGAACACGATACGCAACGAATTTATTACGATATTATTCCATCACCGGCCGCGATAAATATCGCGAAGCAACAGCGGATTCCCGCGGTACACTCGAACGGGGGGCCCTGTACCTCTGGGCGGGGTACTACTCGCGGGAAAATATCGGGGAACGAAACCGAGAGGGTAGGGAGAAGGTAAGAAGGAAAATTTGTGGAAGAAAGAAAGCCAAAAGGAACTAAAGAGAGCGCGAGACACGGCGGGGGTGTTCGCTGCTTTCCGTACTCTTCCCGCGAGAAATCGATCCCCTAGCGTTTGCATGTGTGCATGCGTGCGTGGGTGTGTGTGCGGTGTCGGTGAAGAAGGACAATTAACTAACCAGGTTTTTCCACTGTGTTCGCGTTGCAGGTACAAAGCGAATCGTTGCGTGAGCGGGGGCGGTGGCCGCGGAAACGGCGCGACTGGCGGCACTGGAGGCGGTCTAGGTAACGGAGGCAGCGGCCGCGGGAGCGGCGGGGGCGGTAGCCCCGGTAGGGGCGGCGGCGGAGGCGGCGTTGGAGGAGGCGGAGGTCGCGGCGGAGGAATAGACGGTGGTGCGGTACCTGCTACGCCACCGACCATCAGCCGTTACCACCACCGCTACCATCATCACCATCACCACCATCATCGTAATCACGACCACGTCACCACGACCACCACAGCGGACGCCACTACCATCACCGGCGTCGCCTGGCACCTCAGGCACAAACTACCCCTCGGAAAGCAGTGCCTCGAACACCGTCTTCAACACCGGCATCACCATCGGTCCCCCTATCGGGCCTTAAACATGGGCCAAAAGGCTTCAGGTTAGGACACACCTCTCTTCGCCCCACTCATCACCCGACGACCATCCTTTCGGGGTGTCTGCGTTTGTCGCGAGCGTTTTGGGTGGGCGATCGAGGCACCGACCGGTTCACGCGTCGTCCAAGGTAATTCTCAGAGGGTGGGATGTTCACGATCGTGCGTCGAGATTAGGCTTTTAGACGATTCCCTCCTTTGGGTCGTGTATACCACCTCGAGTCGATGCGACGCGCGCGTGGGAGTCGGTTGAATCGCTCGTCGAGAGAAGTACAGACCGATGTGTCGCAAACGGTATCGGTTAACTATCCAAGTACGTGGATAGCCGGTACTTTTACTTTTCCGAGAGGATGCCCAACTCGAACGCGTCTCGGTCGGGGTTCGTAGCTTCTAAACGCAGCGCGTGTTACGGGTGATGCAACGGTCTCGAGAGCGACTCTCGGAGGTTGATAAACCTCGACGGGCTTCGTCCAGGGTCAAGGCCTCTGACCGCTCTCGATTTTACCTACCTGCTCAGGTAGAAGCTCGAACAGGTCCTTCAGACCGAGATTCTATCCTCTGGCAAAGCACGGGCTGTATAAAATACCAACTTGGGACGAAACTTCCAACCCGACACCGTCCAATCGTTTCATCAATTTTTAACACCGCGTCGATCCAGACTCGACGAAAAATACCACCGACCTGACTAAACTTATCTCGTCGAAAGTTAACCTGCAAACGACTCCATTCATCCCTCTCTCTCTTTCTCTCTTCGTTCCTGAATTATCAATCGCGAACTTCGAGTCTTATGAAAACAGAGTCTGTATTATTAAACGCGATCGCTGTCAAGGGTTGTTAACTGGCCGCCCGGTGGAATAAATAACCCCTGGTAATTAGACAATTACATCCCCGATTCCGGTGGAAACGACGCAATCCGTCGCTGGGAGAAAAATCTGCTGCAGAATCGGTCGTTTGTCGCCATGAATCAATTGCATCGATCGCGTAGAGCTTCCCATCGCGCGCGTCCCTCTGTCATGATTTACACTGGCCATTTGCCCGCTTCCGGAGATTCATTCTACGTCTCGGTGGCGCGATCGTGCATCGACCCCTCTCTCTCTCTCACTCTCTCTCTCTCTCTTTGCCTCTCTGTGTCCGCCCGGGCCTGGCCGCTTGTCTTTTCGGGAAATTTGTCGCCCTCGACCGCAGCCAATTCGCAGCTCAGCTGCACCCGTGAAATTTACGAGGCAAGTATACACGGGGCAGGGCCGTGCGACGCGAGGGCTGGTGGTGGTATCGCAAAGGGGGGAAAAAACGCAGCGGTAGCCAGGTCCAGGGTGTCTCGGACACAACGGCGTGACGAAAAAAAGCCACGAACGCATCGTCGAACCTCGAAGAAGAAAAAGACCTCTAGAGAGAGAGAGAGATAAATCGAGAGAGGTGGAGAGAGAGAGCCGAAAGGTCGACTTGGACCGGATACACGGACGACGCAGGTCCGTGAAAGGGCCTTTCTATTAGTGCCCCTCGGCTTTTCGGCCACGGGAGAGAGCAAGACAGACGGGAGACCCTTTGAAATCCTCGCGGTCCTTTCCAGAACCCTCGTTTCAGAACCCTCGAACGCGCACCAGCTAGGGAACAGCTGCCAGAGCAAATAAACCAGCATCCAAGGATATCGCTCTCTCGAGGCTCGACCGAACACGGGAGAAAGAGAGGGCGAACTTTCGAAAACCTTGAACGAGGCCTGCTGCGCCCGCCGGACGGGGACCCTTCATTATTTTTCTTCCACTCTTTTTTCCCCTGTTCCTCGGCAAATCTACCCGGTGCTGGCGCAGCCCAGGTATCTCCGGGATAACTGCACCACGAGAATCCCACGGACGCGCCCCGAATTATTAACGACCCCGGCTGGAAAATCCCCCCCCGGTTGAAATTCCGTTGACGTTCATCTTCTTGCGCGCCGGATCTGTGATACACGTATTCGACCTTGCCGATCCAACGAATTCGCGATCGTTCGGACGATCAGCGGCGCCGCCTGTCGTTCCTGGGAATGGAAACGTCGAGAGTTTCGAGACCACACCTTTCGCGGATTATCTAGGATTATCGCGAGAACGAGAGAGAGAGAGAGAGAGAGAGAGAGTGACGATAACGTAATCGATTATTAACGCAGCTGGTTCTTGTTTCCACAGGCGGCATAAAAAGCGTGACACGCGAGACTCCAGGCGGAACTGGTGGCGGAGGTGGCGTCGGTGGTGGCGGCATCGTAACGTACAAACCCGTGGTACCAAGAGAGCTGGCGCAACACTTCGTGAGGCCGCCACGGCTCGATGTCCTGCTCGACATGCCACCCGCCTCGCGGGAGACGCAGATTCATCATAGCTGGAACGCCAACGACCGTAGCCTCAACATATTCGTCAAGGTACGCGTCCGAGGAACGCGTCGTGCCCCCTTTATCTTTGTACCGTTCTTCCTTTCTATTCCGTTCTGCTGCCTTCTTATTCCTAACTCCGGTTTCACCAGAGTTAGTTTCTCGAAATATTCTGCCTGTTCTGCGTACCGTAATCGCGACCATTCTGCTAGTTTGCGTATCATCGATGACGCATTACCGATGATTCTGTGTTGCTCCAGGATGACGACAAGTTAACGTTTCACCGGCACCCCGTGGCCCAAAGCACAGATTGTATAAGGGGGAGGGTAGGATACACGAAAGGTATGCATGTCTGGGAGCTGTTCTGGAGCACGAGGCAAAGAGGCACACACGCCGTAGTGGGCGTCGCGACGGCAGAGGCACCCCTTCACAGCGTTGGATATCAGAGCCTGGTCGGCAACAACGAACAAAGCTGGGGTTGGGATCTCGGCAGGAACAAGCTTCTCCACGACTCGAAGAACAACGCCGGTATCACGTACCCGACTCTTCTCAAGCACGACGAAACGTTCATTGTTCCTGACAAATTCCTCGGTAAGTAGTTTCTCCGCATTCGATGAACCTTGCAGCCTTCTTCTCCCTTCTCCAACCATCTAACCCGAGTGTTTGTTCGCTTTTTAGTGGTCTTGGACATGGACGAGGGTACGTTAGCATTCGTCGTGGACGGCCAGTACCTTGGAGTCGCGTTTAAAGGCCTGAAAGGCAAGAAGCTGCACCCTATCGTATCCGCTGTTTGGGGACACTGCGAGATCACGATGAAATACATCGGTGGACTCGATCGTAAGTAGCTCTGGAATCGGTGCACCATGTCAGTAAGCGTGTTTTGACTCGCGTAGTAACGATTCGTATCGTGATTGTTTCAGCCGAACCTCTACCCCTGATGGACCTCTGTCGAAGAGTGATTCGGAAACGAATCGGTAAGGACAAGATAGAAGAGAAAGTGAACGCGCTGAGCCTGCCGTTAGCTGTGAAGACTTATCTCCTGTATCGTGACAGGAGGTAACTACCGATTGCTAGCTCCGTAACCACTACTACCACGATTACGACTGTGAACACCACTGCGCTATTGAATCGTTGCCACCACGACGCACAGGGGAACGCCTGCTACAACATCGCATGCCAGCGAGCACACCAGTCTATAAGCCACATGTACGATCCATGGTGTTTTTATCTATATCAGGATAAGTCGAGACGAGCACGATCATCCTTGTCGTCGTCATCGTCTTCGTCGTCTTCGTCGTCATCGTCGTCATCGTCGTCATCGTCGTCATCGTTGTCGTCGTCGACGTCGTCGTCATCGTCGTCGTCCTCTTCTTCGTCGTCATCGTCGTCATTGTCTTCATCATCCTCATCATCATAATCGTCGTTGTCATTGTCGTTGTTAACTTGATCGTTATCGTCGTTGTCATTCCCGAGCACGATCGGACGACGTAACGTGGAGGAAAAAGGGAAAATGAGACGCGCGGACGGGACACATACGCGAGTCGTATCGGGACTAGCGAATTATTTAGGTGATATTGTTGTCTTGTGTTAACGTCTATACGATTAAAATCGTGACGGAGTCTTTATTAATTGTTACTAATGATAATAAAAAAAAAAAAAAGAGAAATGGCGCACGATGCAGTTCGACAGCTTTTCGTGCACACGTCGTTCGGCGCTGTTGTATTTTTTCTTTTTTTCTTTTTTTTTTCCTTTTTTTTTTTGTAATCTTTTAAGTTTGTCGCGTTGTTAAAACGTTCTGCGTGTGACGAAGAAGATGCAAGATGAGAGAAATCGAGGACCAGATTATACTCGGACAAGAACACACACGCGTGGCTCGGGTGAGAGAAGAAATCGATAAGAAATGATCACGAGGAAAAAGAAAAAAAAGAAAAAAAAACAGCTCTTCACACAGTTGGCCAGTAAAACGTTACACTTAGTCGAGTCTGAAGGCTGATACGGATAACGTTTCGATTATTAGTCAACAATGGGTAGCGGGCTTGTTCTAGTCCGGCCACACTGCGCGAATAAAATACGAGGAGACAATGGAGAAGAAACACGTGCACCTGTTTCACCCGATTTGAACAAAGGAAAAACGACGAAGCTTCGAGAAGAAGACTTTAACCGCCCGATTGCGGAACAATTTGTTGTTCATACGAACTGTCGAGGGAAAAAAAAACAAAAAAAAAAAACAAAAAAAAAAAAAAAAAAAAAAAAAAAAAAAAAAAAAAAAAAAAAAATGTGTTTATAGTGACATGAGCCAGCCGATCGAACAGCCACCTTCCAATAGACTCATTTTTCAAGTATTTTCTAAGCATGCTAGGTCTAATGAAGTATAGTGGTGTGCATGAATCGTGGATGGACACGAAAGGAACGAAAGGGAACTTCAAAAAAAGTATACATATATATATATGTGTGTGTGCGTGAATATATACATATATATATGTGTATGATCGAATAAGTAACACGCCTCCGATTTTCCGTGTATTTTTGTTTTATTTTGTTCTACGTTTAGTTAGAAAATGCCCTGAAACATACGTATCGCAGCTAGAAATAATCTCCAAGCGACATTTTAGCGAGACGCAACGGACAAAGAAGCTAAACCACGAAATTTACGACGTACATGAACGTCGCGGTCATTTAACGATGTTCGAACAGACCTCGTCGGAAAAAGCGAATGACAAAAATAAATTACCTCGATTAAGTTAATTGAAGTAATAAAAGCAAAGAAGAAAACGAAGATTAGGTGTACGTAGTTAAACGTTTAGGGCAAGCAAACGAACACGGGCATATTATGGCTGAGTAGAGATTCCAAACACGAATTAAAACTGTCTGCCGGAGTGTAAAGGGGGAAAGAGAGAGAGAGAGAGAGAGGGGGGCGAGAGCTGCCGCGACACCGATGCGCGAGTGTTTATGCGTGTGTTATACGATGCAAATCATGGCGACGATCCAGAATATGATCACGATGATGATGATGGTGATGAATGGATAATGATGATAGTAAAGCGATTATATCGGGCGTGTTGCTACCTATACTATTAGCATGACAAATTATGACTGGTCCCTAGTAACTCTTTAATCTTACGTTTGTCGCTTAAGTTTAATGATAATGTGCCGTTTATCGGCGATGTCGATTTGTACATAGGGTATAATTATAATAATGATAATAATAATAATATCTATCGGTACGACAATGAATGTATTGTGGGTAGTGATTGTATCCAAGACCGTAAGGACGAACCGAATGCGAGAGGGAGGGAAAATTAAGCAGAACTCGATCGCATGCAGAAAACGCAGAGGCAAAACTTGTCGATGAAAACAGCGCTCCAATTTTTGTTCCGTTTTGGTCACGAGAGTACAACTTCCTTTTTCTTTCTTTTTCTTTTTTTTTTTTTCTATTTTACTTTCCAGAGACGAAAGGAGGTTTCTTGCTGATACCACGCATTGTTGTTCATTCTCATCGAAAGCGAGTTCCCCCGCGGGGAGCTCGTTGTTACAAGAACGCGTCTTCCAGATTGTCTGGCCGGACATACAGTTGCACCTTTTATACAAAAAGAAACAAAGAAAAAAAAAAAAAAAAAAAAAACAGAAAAAAAAAAGAAAAAAGAAAAGAGAAAATACAAAAAGAGAGAATCTATTTCTTTTTCCTTTTTTTGATCCGTTTTCGCGCTAAGAAGCATGGCCACGTTTTTTACCGACCCGCCGGATTTTTTATTGATTTCACACCTGAATCGAATGTCCATTTTCAAAGCCGTTCTCATAGACACGCACGATCTCGCAATCGGCAGCCACTGCGTCGTGATCTTGCGGTCCTCAATACGCACACCCAAATCGCTGTCTGTTAGAGCAATGTTCATCTTCGCTACCTTTGCTCGATTCTCCGCTCGGTCGAGACGGGCACATCTCGAGCCAGGGAGAACGGAAGAGGAAAGAGGACAAACTAAAAATTCGTGGCGTAGGAAAGAAGGGAGAGGAGGAAAGAGATAAAGAGGGACTAAAGGAACGAAGAGTAAAGAGAGGAGATACAAACGACGAACGAACGAGCGCCGTGAGGATCAAAGTCCTCCGTGTGTGTATGTGCGTATGCGTGCCTGCGTGTGTGTGTATATGTGGCAGTCGAGCAGTAATGCGCTGCAGCGTGCTTCCTCCGCGCGTCAACGTTCGTCACGAACATTCGAAATTGTAGCCAGGCAAAGAACGGACACCATTGCGCGTGTCGCGTGTCGTACGATCGCCGCGGTGACGGGCTATTTCACCGCGATCGCGTAGTGACCCCTACGTGTTCGTCGTGGGCGAGGATATTATACGCCGTTCGTCGAAACCTCTGCCTCGTTTGTAAGAAAAAGAAAGAAAATGAAAGCTAGTAATAAAACAGAGGAAGGATTCTCGAGCGCGGCGCGGACGTCGCGCGCGTTGTCTCGCGTATGCGTGAAACAAAGTGTGTCTCCGGATGGAAGTAAACAGAGAGCACATAAATAGCGAGTAAAAAATGAAATTGTATAAGGTAAAAAACACATATAGAGAAGATTAACGCGAGAAGCACACACACACACACACACACACACATACACATATACACACACACACACCTGTTTTCTCGCGCGTTTCGAAACGAGAAGAGAGAGTTAGAGCGCGCGAAAGAGACACATCGACGTCGCAGAATGAGAGAGAGAGAGAGAGTGAGAGAGAGGAAGGAAGTGAAAGATTCACACGCGCAAAGAAGACGTTTCCTTTTTTTCCCCCCCACGCGAGTAATACTCTCCTCCATCTTGCTACCGTCGTGTCGTACCTATTTCTTTACGAGCTGTTTTCTATAAAAAAAAAAAACGGATAATTTCTTTTTTTTTTCTTCGTGCGCGTGTCACGTTCCGAGCATGAGACAGGACGGAAAGAAAGGTATAGCGTTTAGAATATTGTATATATTATTAATTAATGATTAATATTAATATTATTATTATTGTATCGGCTCGATAGTTTAATTGATTAATCGATTATATCGTGTTAGTCGGCATAATTGTGGACTCAGTTTTTGTACGGTAGGGAAAACGATCTAATTAACGCGATCGATCGATCGACAGTGTTGGATCGAGAAACCGTTGGTCGAGTACGTTCTACACGGCTCGTCGCTCGGCCCCCCTCCCTTTTCGTTCTTTTTCTTTCGCGTCCGAGCGACGACGCTTCCGGGACGCGCCATGGAAACTTCCTATTATTTAAATCGCATCGACGATTGAACGAAAGATGGTGGATTACAGCGAATAAAGCAAGTAAAAAGTAAAGAAACGTGTTTTTATACCGGCGCGAGCTCGTGTTCCGATCCAACGCGTTCTCTCCTTGTTTCTTTAAACGTCGCTTTCGTCGATCAACCTATTTTAATCTTTCTCTTCTTCTTCTTCTTCTCTCTTCGAATTTTATTTTCGTTTTATTAATTTTCGTTTTATCCGTCTCTTGTTTTCCTTTGTTTTTATTTTTCTTTTCAATTCGTTGCATCGTTCCTTTTTCGTTTTCTTTCCTCGACACGTGGCAAGGCAAATATCCGTCGGTATATTACGCACGACCGTTTTATTTTTTACGTCTCTCGTGTACGCACGTCGAACGACACCCCACGCGGGTCGAATAAATCTGTTTTTATTTTAATATTTTAATGACACGTTTTCCCTCGTACCACGTCGGCGAAACACGTCCGTCGATGTTTTAATCGAAGTTCCACACTAGGATCGATCGATCCGAACGACACAACCGAGTCAACCGAGTTCTATATCCTTTTTAACGCGTTCGAAAATTTTATCCGCCTAATTTATAAACGAAACTTCCATCGATTCCTTTTGTCGTTCCGAGTCGGGAAAATTCGCGAGCAGCACGATTACCGATGCCCCGATAGCGAAGAGCCGATGGCTCGATCGATCGATCGATAGAGAAGATCGATCGTCCGACGGGAACGAATACCGCAGGGAATATCTTGGCTCGCGAGGAAAACGCGACGACGTTCGATTCGTTCGCTTTCGTCGCGGAAGATGTTCGGATACCAAGAGATAAAATAAGGAAAGTAGGGAATGGAATGCAGAAAACACGGGTGTTTCGAGATACTTTTCGTAAACTACCTGCCGCCTGCCTGTGCAAACTACGTTGCCTCGACAAATGTGTCTAATTTATTGACGATACGATAATTAGCAGGACCTTTAAGCTGCGTGCGTGCAAGTGATAGCCGAAAAAGAAAAGATGCTGTGTATGTGTGCGAGCGTGTACGTGTGCGTTCAGCGGAGGGTGAGTGTGAAAGAAGCGAGCAAACAAGAAAGGGGGCGAAAGAGGGAAAGCCGGAACAAAGGGTGCGAGCGCATCTGGCACCGGGGGATGGTCTCCGATGGTATATTCGTCCTTCCCCCGTTCTTTCCCCGTTCTTTTCGCGGCACCACCGAAAAATCTCGCGGAAAATCGACGATTTAGTCTAGTTTCTCGACACAAAAAGAGAGAACCGAACGAGAGTGAAAGAGAAAAATTGCAAGGAAAAAGGGAACAGAGACGAAACACTATTTCGTGGAAAAGGTTAAAGAACCTTGTGCACCAAGGCCACTTCCGGTCCGGTTTGCAAGCCTGTTTCACACGACGTTCTTTTACTCTTGTGTTTTTTTTTTTTCCTTTGAAGCCTGGACTATTGCAACGAGCGATCTCACGTCTATTTAAGCATAAATTTACGAGTTTAGCGTGGTATTGCTGTATAGTGGCGAGTGAACACGAAGAATTTATGAATATGTAATGCCTTAATGTTATATAACGATAATAATGGAATAGCGTTATTGTATAATTAGTTGTGACGCGAGGAGATCAACGAGGATCGTGACAGATAGATAGACCGTGGGGCGGGTGGTGAGAGAAAAATAACGAACGAACGAACGAGCAAACATGCAGAAAAGAGAAACGTGTAACGGACAATGAAACAAAAGGGGAGTGCAGTACGTGCGGCCGTTTGTCTCCATTCTGTTCGTGATTTGATATTTTTTTATAATTCCGATGACGAGAGAGAACGAGATTGGAGAGAAAGAGAGAGAGCGAGAGAGAGGGAGAGCGAGTATAAATGGAGCGTGTATAGAGAGCGGACTGCTATCTAAAATAGTTCAGGCTAGATGTCGATGTTTGTAGCAGATAAAGAAGAAAAGAAAAAAAAAACACAACACAGCATATTGTAATTAAAATTAAAAGTCATTAATACTGCCTGCTTTTTTATTCGTCGGGGGCTTCGTCTTTTACCCATGCACTCTGTCTTCTTCTTCTTCTTCTTCTTCTTCTTCTTCTTCGAATCGCTCCACCACCACCACAATCGTCATTAACCCTTTGACTACGGCAGACTTAGAAACGCACCAGCTATGTACCATACAGTAGGAATCCATTTGCGATGTACGCCAAATACGGTGAATTTAATTATTGTATATTCAAATAATAATCGAAACACTGTATTCCACATATTAAAACGATATTATTTATTTCTCTGTATTTCGTAGTAAATTGTTACTGTACATACTTGGAATTCAACAGCCAAAGGAAGTTTTCAGCGCCTTTAGGTGCCCGCAGTGTCACGAGCGCAAGATTTCCAAGCACCTTTAACGTTAGCCTAGTCAAAGGGTTAATCTCGACCTATCCCCTGCTTTATTATTTACAGACACGCGAAACGCAAGCAGGAAAACTGCATAGGATAAAGAATAAAACGCATCCCTTTCCCCGGTTCGCAGGATTGCTCGTTTTATTGCTACGTCTAACGATTCTCCATTCTCAGTTCTAGTCGATCACGCGTCTTCCGAGGTGCCCGAAGCTCGTCGATCCTTCGAGGACACCCTTTCGTCGCAGTCCCTGTACAGTACCTCGCAGTCCTCGCCACGAATCCCAGCCTCTCCCGCGTCCCACACCAAGGGGAACCAGCCGGAAGACGATCTCAGAGATTTCTCCACGCCCCGGCTGAAAGCAGACAAACGTCTTCGACAAAATTCCACCCCTTGCTCGCGAGACATTCGCGCGTTTAATATTCCTACTGCGTGCTGCGAATAGCGTATCGAGACACGCGCGAGTCCTCCCGGTCCAGATTCCACGTCTCGCGCTCGTTCGCGCCACGACACTCGGAATATTAAATTTCTATGTGGCGCCGGGAAGCAATAACGCGGCAGCTCTGGAACTCACGTTAAGTACTTGGCCAGTATCTTGCCGGCAGCGCCGAAAGCCTTCGAGAGCTTCCGATTCTCCAGGCAGACTGTTCTCTGTATGCACCGTACCCTGGCGTCCTCCTCGAGAACGTCTTCCTGCTCCGGCGTCTGAAAGCGAGCGGAGAAAACAGGCGGAAAGAACTCTGATTACCTCTCGAAACTTGGAATTAAATTATCATGGACGTACGAGACCCGCCGGGATAGCTCGGAAAGTTCATTCAAAGCTCGAAGCCTTACCACGTGATTGAAATTGTACGCGGCATACAGCTCTCTCTTCTTCCTCGCGGACAGCACATCCGTCGAGATGCCTCTCCGCTTCGCGTTCACGATCGTGTTCTGAATAACAGCGAACAGCAACAGCAGCCCGATGAAGCTCACGATCACGAGCTGCTTCGAGTACGGTCTCACCGGGTAATCGATCGAGTGTGCCACTGGGTACGCGAAGTGAGGATAGTCGTACAGGTATGGCAGCGCGTTGTCACCCCTGTGATGGATAAACGTCCTCGGCGGCGCTGGAAAACGTAACGACGTTAGCATCCCTCCGTTTCCGATTTCTTTTATTCCATCAGGAGGAATCCCAGACAGGTTACCAGGGATAAAGTGATTGGCAGGTGTGGTCGGATGCGCGAGGAGCTCGGAAGAACGCGTTATATCCGGTCGAGGCGCAGGTCCCATTTTGCCCGGTGGTTCCAGAATGGAGGCATTTCCGGGGAACGGAAGCACCGTGGTCTTTGCGTCCTGCGCGGCGGTCGAGACCGCGAACGCGCCTAATAGCGAGAGAACCGTCCTCGTGGGCAGAGGGAACATCCTCTTCCTGTCACTTCGAAATTTGACTCGACGAAATCGAAACTCTTCGAATGATATCGCACCGTGGAAGAAGATCGAATTATAGTGCGCGACTGACGGAAGCTTGCCGGCCTACGGTGGTCTTAAGAGGGTCGAGGGAAGAGTAGCTTCGTGACGTAGGCAATTGGATGTCACGGCGAAAAAAAGTGCGGCAATTTGACAAATTGCTGCCATCATTCGGCTCGCTGAGCTATCGCGCGGCGAAAACGCTGTGTCTTACTCGCGAAGCGATGGTTTCTCTAATGGCCGGCGAGGAGAATCTTTTATTCAAATGTTCCACGACGCGATTTCACGCTTGGAGGAACCACGACGTGGACACTCCTCGAGTAACTTCTTCGCGAAGGAGAAGACGCGAAAGAGAGCAGCGTCTCGGGAAGGAATAATCCGTGGTGGATGTTAAACAGAGTAAACGCTCGTATGATATTCGCGATGGGGATTCGGGGTAGCCATTTTGATACGCGAGAACGAAACGTGTGGAAACTTTCTTCGCGATTCGGTCCAACGATTCCTCCGAAACGGAAACTTTGCAATTACGAGGGGGTACGCAACGACTCGTGCCGGTTACCCAATCGAAAATGAAAGGTAAATTGAAATGGCGGATGCAGAGGCACTCGATCCGTACACAGAGACGTATCACTGTGGGGAAACAAAGGTTTGCCTGATTTCGAGTGCGTAAAAAATGGAGGGTAGAGAAAGAGAGAGGCGAAAAATAGAGAGAAACAGCGTGTTTGATGTAAATGTTCGAACAACGAACGGGACTGAGGGTGGGCAAATCGCTTGGTTAGGTTGGCTGCTGAATCCAAGGGGTTGCTATGGCGATGGGACGGTCGTCGGTAATGGGGAGGGTACAGAGGGCTGTTGCCTGGAGGGTTCGTCTGTCTGGAGCCCTTCTAAAGGGGATGATGTTCTTCGCTCTGTCTGTCTGGACTGCTGGCTAGTGGTTTTACAGCGAGTCAGCTGTTTCGGGGACACATCCAGACGGATTAACCTACCTGTGATCGGCTCTCGCGCGCGGCAGTCCCTGCTGGCCATTTTCCTCTCGGCTGTTGCAACCTCGAGCTTACTTTTTAATAGGAGCGGAGTTCGAGAGATACGTTAACTGCTCGTTAAAGTCCGCGAGTTCACGGACACCTGGGGTCCGCAGTAGCGACACTTGAAAATCCACCCCGTCCCACGAGGTTTAACTCTTTGCGGCACAGGATTTCTGATAATAAGACAGACCCACGTTGCGTAGAAAATTTATCGCGTTTTAAATGAAACAAAATTGGTATATTTTTACTAATAAAGGAATCACATAGTTAAACCTTTCGCTTGCAACAATTGACGAACCTATACTGGCATGTCGAATGTTGCCAACACGAGCGAATACGTTTATAACATTCGTCGAAGGTATTACCAACTGCTTCACGTAAATAAGACGAAATATAAACCTACGCGCATGCAGCTATAGCAATATTCCGAGGTGGGACTAAAAATGTCCCACCATGCATTACGGTGCATCGAAAAGGCGGGACATTTTTAATCCCAGCGTGCCCCAAAGAGTTAAAAGGTGTTCTTAACCATCTCCTTATGTACTATTTAACTGATGCACGATGAAATTCATCTGTGTATATATTGCAAGAGAAACGCCGACAGTCGAGTCCAAGCAGTTGTCAATAATCAGTCGATGTTGGCATCGAAAAGGTGCTCCACTTTTAATTCCACCGTGCCCCAAAGAGTTGAAAGGTTTTCTTATCCATCTCCTTGCGTAGTATTTAATTGATGCACGATGAAATTCATCTGTGTATATACTGTAAAAGAAACGCCGACAGTCGAGCGAAGCAGTTGTCAATAGACAGACGATGTTGGCATCAAAAAAGTGGAACACTTTCAATCCCAGCATGCCCGAAAGAGTTAATAAGAAGAAAGTTCCCTCGTTCTCGCGACAACTCCTCGGGAATAATGGACCAATCTTTGGCCCATATCCTTGCAGATTGCAGGCTGAGAACGTCTCTCCTCGCTCACCCACTTTCAACTTTTCTCCTCGAGCGCCTCGCTAATCGTTTCTCCAGTTCTTCCACGGTCTTTCCACCCTACGTGTCGCACTGTCGAAAGTCCACCGATGTGGCAGTCGCTATCGTCGCCAATAACTCTGGCGAACACGCTCGTAACCCCGGGTGACACGTTTTCCTTAGGTAGCGGAGCGTACGATATCCTTGGGACTGCGCTTCTTTGAAAACAGCCGGGAAAATGGGACGTCTATGTACCCTGGCTTATAAATAGCCGCGCTGCGCTGCTTTTTTTTTATAGACCTTGCAAAGATAAAGCGTATTTCGACGGAGAAGCGCCTGCAGCAGCTGCCACTGATATCACAGAGCAACCCCTTGGCTGTCTCTCCCAAAGGAGTCGGGAAAGGACGCGCGGTTCGGAAACGTCGATGGACGGCTCGTGCCATTCGGCTTGGTACAGGAAGGGCAGACGTTCTGGCGACGAGCAGCGACATCGAGATCATCTCGCCGGGCGTTGCCAGTTTATTGCGAACGATAAAAGCGGGGGTTGTTTTTTTTTCTACGGCAGAGTACGTGTATCGGGGTCACATCGATAGACACGCCGCGTGAACGAGCCGCGGTTTCACGCCAACGCGACGCGAGCGAGCATTATATTTTTAGTACGCTTTTACAGCGGCAGCCCTACGCTCGGACACCTTGCTCGCCGACTTTTTATCACGGTCCAATCGAAACCGCTCGGCCTGCAATCAGAGCTTCGTTAGCGGCCCTTTTATGCGATCGGTCGACCAGCGCGGCTAGACGCCACCCACCCCCAGCCCCCTCGCTCCGCCCGTGTTGCGCTTTCTTTTTTCTTCCCGTTTTTCCCTGCATTCTCTGCACCTTTTGTTTACGAATAATTATAGACCGATTCGTGACCCATTTCCACTTACCCGCCGCGGCGGCCGAGCTTCTTATCGAGCTTATCGCGCCGGATCGAAGGGAAAGAAGTTCGGGGAGAAATATGGAATATCCCGTGATCTTATGGCGCAACGCGACCAACCAACCTGTATTTACCCGCAGCGCATACGACGATCGTAAAAATGCAACGAAGTAATCGCGATTAACGAAGGGTGGGACGCAAAGTGTGGTCACGAAAGGGTGGCCGAGGTACTCGCGACGGGGCTCGTGCGCTCGTGGATCTACGGGATCGGCGGGAATGACGAGGCGAATGTCGCGATCGCGATTATCCCCGTTAATAAACAGAAATTGATTTCTGCCGGAGGAACGCGGAACAATGGAAACCGGTCGTAAAGCCGGAGTTTAAAATTCATTTTTTCCCGTTGCCCTAGCCAGAAGCAATTCTGCGCTCGGCAAATATCGCCAAGCACCGTGCTTGTGTTCCTTTTCCGCTTCTTTTTGTTCCATCGTCGTGGAAGTTTTTGGCGCGAGCCCGGATTTTAAGGCCGCAGTTACCGCGCCGAATTAATGGATAATTCGTGTTTGTTCCGTTCTCGCGGCCATCTCTCTCTCCTGCTCCAACTGCTCGTTAAGTACCCCCCACCATTAGACTACATGCAAGAAATACCCGCGTTTTTCTCTTCCTTTTTCTCCGCTGCAACTACCAACGGTCGATGTGTACACCGCTTAATTAATTGGAGGGTTCTTCGTATCGTGTCTGACCCGTGCCGGGCTTTACTACTTGCTGGCACGCAACCAGAGCCAGTCTCTCGTCCTCGAGTGATCACCCACGAATATTCGGTTGACGAAACGGAGAACAGCCGCGTGCACACGATTCTTTTGCTCGTTAGCGTGACGTAACATAGGAGAAATTCAATTAGAGGAACGTGCGTTTGAATAATTCAGCCGGACGATTGCAGGTGCAGGGAAGGGAGCCTCGAAGCCTGGGTTAACGCGAATGGTCACAGGGAGCAATTTGCATAACATCGGCTTCGTTATCGCGAGTTAGGAAAAGGCCGCGAAAGCTCTTAGAGACGCGCGGATATTCCGCGACGAGTATTCCCCAGGGGTGTCGCAACTTGGCCGGAGATCGGGAGAAGGATGTTTCCCTAGACTGGGGACGAAAGCAGCGACCTTGCCGTATTAATACGAATACGCGTCTCCGGAAATCAGGCGCGACCGAGGAAGCCTCGCAGGATCCATTCGGGTCAGGCACCCTGGGAAATCCTTTAAAGCCGAGAGATCTCGCTGATTCCATTTCCACGCCGACCTGTTTACCTTCTCCTCGAGACCTCGCGCGAGTTTTTCTATTCCTCACGGTCGCGCCTCGAGCGTCTCTCCACCTAACGTGGATCAAGCGTTCCTCGTTTCAACCTGTTTGAATATTCCCGAGGAAAATGTGTTTAATATCGCCAGCCTTCCTTGCTGCTCCAAACCACTCCGAACGTAACTTTCGTCTTAATAGATCTTGATACGAACTTCCACTATATTTCACCCCATTAATTCTCGGAATTAATTTTCCGGGGATAGGGGGATCCTCGAAGATCGCGTTCCTTCGTTTCGCTTGCCAGACAATGCTCGACGGACAGTCACGGTGGAACGTGTTTAATACGTGGAACGCTTTAATGCCGCACGGAACTTGCTGCACGACTCAACGATCAACTCTGCGTTGCTTCTGAATTAACGGTACGAGGCTGCACCGCGGAACTATTCGTCGGGGTCTCGAAGAAGCTTCTGCATTTTTAACCCTTTCGGTACTACTGCGGCCCAATGGCGGCGGTCATGAAACGTTCTCTGGGTACTACCGTCGTTTATTGGTGGCATCCACGAAACGTCACCGATGACTGTCGCGGTCCGAATGAAAAGTTTAGTGTCAATCACGCTCGAGATTTCTATGAATACCGCAAAACACGTTTACGTGGCTTCCAGTGCAACCACTCCTGTGGAAAACTTCCTCGTACCACGAATGTATAACCGCGGCCAGCTCCTTCGTGCCGAAAGGGTTAACCCGTTCGTTCGTGTTGGCTCAGAATCGCGAAGCAACTCTGAAATTTCTCTCGGCCACCAGAACCTTGTAACAGTTTCTCCGGTGTACGTAGCTGCCCCTCAGCGCCCGGAGGAAAGTGGAGCTCGAGGAACGCTCGCAACTGGTCGTTTCTTGCGAAACGAGAGCGACGAAAATCGGCGATCGTTGTCGATTAACGTCGCACCAAGAGCAACGAGGATGTGAGTCGCAGTGGACGAGAATGTCTCGAGCGAAACCGAAATAACTTCCATAACCCGAAGAAGCCTTTAAACGCGCACGGACCCGGAGATCAATACGCGTTGCTGGCAGTGGATTCATCTTTTAATAAGAGCCGCTTCTCGCGAGGGAGTCTACGCGATGGCTGGTCAAGAACGCGATGCATTTACTCTTTCGAGCGAATTTTGTGTGGGGAGAATTAATCGGACGATGCTCGGGGCCTTTTGCGAACGTGAGCTAACTCTATCGAGATTTTGCAGGCTTTTAGCTTGCAAGGAGAGTGCAAGTTGTTCGAGTCACCGATTTAATTGAAACTTTGTAGGTTTGTAGATTTCGTCATGCAGTTCGAGAATATATATCATTATAGCCGCCACTACTCGATAGTTTTTGAGATATTTACTAGATATTCACGCTTTGACTGCCACGGTGGTCATTGGTGACCGGAGCGATTATACTTCTTAAACTACATTGAACAACATTGAATGA